GGATCTTATCGTTTACTGTCCTTTATAATGAGGTGTAACACTGGTCAATGGATCTTATCGTTTACTGTCCTTTATAATGAGGTGTAACACTGGTCAATGGATCTTATCGTTTACTGTCCTTTATAATGAGGTGTAACACTGGTCCATGGGTCTAATCAATTACTGTCCTTCTTAATGAGGTGTAACACTGGTCAATGGGTCTAATCGATTACTATCCTTCTTAATGAGGTGTAACACTGGTCAATGGGTCTAATCAATTACTGTCCTTCTTAATGAGGTGTAACACTGGTCAATAGGTCTAATCAATTACTGTCCTTCTTAATGAGGTGTAACACTGGTCCACGCTTCAGTACCTGCTGTTTTTCTACGAAACATTTTCTCAAGTAGGTTCTGAACTTGTAACAGGTGTCTGGTAAAATTTGCATCTATAACTATTTGAAAAATTCAGATACTTGATGGAGACCAGAAGCCTGTGACCTAGCCTTTCAAACTGGCCCCTTTTAGTAGGGTTCTATAAGATTCATATCTAGGCTTTGGGAGAACAGTTCCAAGCCTATGGGTGAATCATTTCCAACTTTTGTTACTGTTATTTTGAAATTAAGCGTTTGTCATTTATGCACTGTGACAGAAACATTATCTTTATAGAACATCACATTGATCTGTTTACTTTAATAAATCATAACCTTGGTTCTTAGAGGAAATTATTTATTTAAGAGTTCTTGGTAGCTATGGGCTGGTAAGCAAATGAAAGATAAATCCAACACCCCATGCATAAAATGTGGATTGACTTATTATCCTCATGATAATACTTCACAACCAGCATAACATAATATTTGCTTCGAAACTGGATGAAGGTGCTTTCTTTACTCCGTACTGTTTGTGACCAACTGCCACGATTCTAGTAATAACAGATTATGTAAGGAAACCTCATGTACTGTTTCCACATGCAAATTATTCCGAAGTACCAGGGCCGGACGTATCCCAGTCACTAGCCTACCAGATTGTGGATCTGAGTGCTCATGGTTCGCGTCCCATTGTCTCATAAACACGCTTCGAATTTTATAGCTGTTGTGCTTTATAATAGTGACAGTCAAATCCCACTATTTGACTAGAGTAACCCAAAAGTTGGGGATGTGTGATGTTGACTGTCTCTCAGATTAAAACCAGATACTAGTGCAGATAGCCCTCGTGTAGATTTGCGTGAATATCCGAAATATTAATATTCATGAAAGAAATGGTGTCTGTCCGTTTTTGATGTTATCAAACGTTTTGTTACATGAAAGTTTTAAATTACCAGAAGAAGAATGTACCGATTTTGCGGTATAAGTTTTTCTTTTTTTTTTTCGTTTCTAAATTTCACTTTAATTGTATCACATCGGTCTCTGCGTGACTTTTCGCATGTGGCTTCATTGGACTGATTAAAGTCACTGTGACTTTGTGACAAAGATCATTTTTAACTATTAAATACAGTTCTACTCAGTGGACATTAATCACGTTTCAACAGTCTAGGCCATTCTGGACATTTCTAAGATGTTATGGATTTAATTTCCTTATATTAACTAATTGTTTTATGTACAGTATTTCATAAAGTGATCTAAGACACGTCCGACAGTCCAGATAAAATCTTCTTACATTCACGACGTTGTATCGTTATTAAATACACATAATAGTAATATTCGCATCTAATATGACAAGTAGAACAAGATCAGTGGGCCTTATAATTGTTGGTGTATTCTCCTATGAAGTGATATTGAAATAAACATGTAATATGTTCCCTAGGCTTAGAAAGGTTTAATCAGGAAAAGTAAGAAAGAACGAGTTTTCTGATTTATCTTTAAGAACGTTGAAAGACCTTCTTATGAAGAGCAGATTTAAACGACATTGAGGAAGTGGTGTTTTTTTTTTTATTTTTACTATTTTTATGTTTTGTTTTTCAAGCAGCACCTACAACGTAGATGAAATTCCATTTTCACCACCCACCGCCAACTCTTGGGCTACTCTTTTACCAACAAATAGTGGGATTGACCGTGACATTATAACGTTCCCGAAAGGGCGAATATGTTTGTTGGAACGGGTATTCGAACCCGCAACCCTCAGATTGCGAATCAAGCGCATTAACCACCTGAAAAGAACGACCGCTCCTTCGTTATACAGTGAATGTTTCAAAAGTTGATGTATTTAGACATGACGTCGATAAATTTCATAGTTATTTCAAAATGGACAGTCTGTTTCTCTTAACTCATTAATTTTACGTTTTATGATAACATCTTATGTTTAAATTCAACTCCTTAAAACTAGGGTCCTTATATTTTGATGTTTTAAACAAACAGAAAAATATTATATCGTAATAATTTAATTTTTTTTCTTCTCATTATTCTAATAATTTTAAAACTGCAATATCTATGATATTGTTATATTTAAGAATTATACAAAAAATGCTTATCTTCAATGATTAAAAAACACACATTTAGTCTATAACTGTGGCGGATGAGTGGATGGCAAGTTTTTAATCCGTAGTCAACATTCGTAATTTGTATACGACTCTAGTGAAAAATATTGGGAAAACAATCTCTAGATTGCACCGGGAAAAGCAGTAGATTTAATATAAATTAAATTGATCATTAAAGAATATTAGAATTGTATCATAAAGACAGAAACAGCAATAACTGTTTCTTTTATGTGTTGCACTTAGGAGGCACGTGGCAGGAGTTGACTTTGTTTGGAGCAAGTGATTCTCGTGGTGGACGGAGCTTTCCAGGAACGACCGAGGCAAGCACGTCTTGCACGATGGGCGTAACAGCCCCAGGTTTCAAATTTCTGGTGACAACATATCTGGTCCTGTCAGCCATCTTGGGATGATTATTTTATTTACATACCTGTACTTTTGTCGTACAGAATTTAACTTATTTTGTTATCATTAAATTGTAAGAAAGGTTTGGATACTTTTTATAGTTCAGAAATGCAACAGTTTTTTTTTCCAGATAATTCAAATTCCAACAGCCCTATGACAGCCCGTGTTAGATAACTATATATTGAATATAATTGAACTCTAAAGGTTTATATACAGATATATATTTTTTTTAAAAGCGGGTAAAACTTAGTTTCATCTTTGTTGTTTTTTCGTATGTTTTCCAAAGAATATAATGACTGTCTCTTGAATGTGTAAAACAGAATTAACAGAACATTGCAAATAACCTACCTTTTTGTATTTTTTTGTATGTAACTTAGTTTCTTAAGTTTAGAAATGTAATGTATAACTCCAGAGACTATATAAAGTGTAGAAACTATTACCTAAGTAGCTAGAGAAATTATATGGTACAATTAGGTCATGAAATTCATAAGATATATTTTAACATGAAATCATTCATAAGATATATTTTAACATGAAATCATTCATAAGATATATTTTAACATGAAATTATTCATAAGATATATTTTAACATGAAATCATTCATAAGATATATTATTTTAACGTGAAATTCATAAGATATATTTTAACATGAAATTCATAAGATATATTTTAACATGAAATTCATAAGATATATTTTAACATGAAATTTATAAGATATATATTTTAACGTGAAATTTATAAGATATATATTTTAACATGAAATTCATAAGATATATTTTAACATGAAATTCATAAGATATATTTTAACGTGAAATTCATAAGATATATTTTAACACGAAATTCATAAGATATATTTTAACATGAAATTATTCATAAGATATATTTTAACATGAAATCATTCATAAGATATATTTTAACATGAAATTATTCATAAGATATATTTTAACACGAAATTCATAAGATATATTTTAACATGAAATTATTCATAAGATATATTTTAACATGAAATTATTCATAAGATATATTTTAACATGAAATTCATAAGATATATTTTAACATGAAATTCATAAGATATGCTCTTTAACAGAATCCAACAAAAAACACGTGCATTGTTATTTCTTCAATTACATATTTGTTTGTTACCATAATCAATACATCTGTCACCTCAACATCAAAGTTCACGAGAATGGCTGGGTCAACATTAGAAAAACATTGTGATAAAATTCTATACAAAGCAATAATGATATAATTATGTACAGAAACACAGCCCTAAAGAGAGAAACAAAACACATCATATTAGGTTTTTAATAGTGTAACAAAACATTACAAAAATACTACTTATCATAATTATAATTAAAGTAATTATCATTAAATATTTTTGCGTTTTGTAAGAGGTAATATGCGAACTTATTCTAACAATAGCGACGTATTCATCGCAAAATATACTAACTTATACATATCTATATGCCCCAATAACTTTATTTTGGGTTATATAAATAATATTTGAATGTTGTTTTATGCATTAGTATTAAGTATTAGTGTTTTAATATTAAGTATGAACTGTACAAATAAAAATGTGCAACTTGTTATGACTTTACGATTTCAATATTCAAATTATGTGTTGTTTTACAGACAAACCATAATAGTTACATTTCCATTAATGTGATTTGTCTCAGTAATAATAAAAATATAATCATTTTTACTGTAATATTTGTTTTGAGTGTTTTAATAATGAAGTACGAGCACGACTTAAATCATAATGATTCCGCGAGAAACCAAAGTTTTTCTATAGACTTAATATACATTCTAAATGAAGGGATTTTTATACCTTTAGGCTTTGGTTGTTTTCCACATAAACCTTACAAAGTCCACAACATCTTCTGTAGTTTTCACTGCTTCAGAATAAATCATAAGAACTGCATAGGTTCTGACGTAATAAAAATAATGATGGTTTGTTATAAATAACACTCCACCCAAGTGTATAGGGTTAACACCAGAAATGTTTAGTTTCTAAGATGTTACTTTGCATATAAACATGCAACTTTTACCTCTTTTAACATTTTTATTTTTTAATTTGATTAATTTGTCTGTCTTTTAATATGATGCTATTATGGAAGTCTGTAACGAAACAATAACTGAGATATTTCAGAAACGTGATGATGACTAAGTTATACATTACAGGTATCTTTTAGTCAACTTATCCTTTTTTAATTTAAGATTTGTTCTTAATTAATTCTTTGTCGCAGTTTCGTTGCAATATTTCGACACTTATCATAAAATGGTGATTTTCTGAAATTGAGATCGTGGTGTAATATAACCTTCTGGACGAGCTAGATAAGGTGTGAAGATTGTTATTATTTTAGGATTGTGGTATAATATAACCTTCTGCAGGAACTAGATAAGGTGTGAAGATGTATTATTATTTTAGGACCGTGGTGTAATATAACCTTCTGAAGGAACTAGATAAGGTGTGAAGATGTATTATTATTTTAGGATCGTGGTGTAATATAACCATCTGGAAGAACTAGATAAGGTGTAAAGTTTTATTATTTTAGGATCGTGGTGTAATATAACCTTCTGGACGAGCTAGATAAGGTGTGAAGATTATTATTATTTTAGGATTGTGGTATAATATAACCTTCTACAGGAACTAGATAAGGTGTGAAGTTTTATTATTATTTTAGGATTGTGGTGTAATATAACCATCTGGAGGAACTAGAAAAGGTGTGGAGTTTTTATTATTTTAGAATCGTGGTGTAATATAACCTTCTGAAGGAACTAGATAAGGTGTGAAGATGTATCATTATTTTAGGATCGTGGTGTAATATAACCTTCTGGAGGAGCTACATACGGTGTGAAGTTTTATTATTATTTTAGGATCGTGGTGTAATATAACCATCTGCAGGAACTAGATAAGATGTGAACATTTTATTATTTTAGAATCATGGTGTAATATAACCTTCTGGAGGAACTAGATAAGGTGTGAAGTTTTATTATTATTTTCGGTTCGTGGTGTAATATAACCTTCTGGAGGAACTAGATAACGTGTGAAGTTTTATTATTATTTTAGAATCTTGGTGTAATATAACCATCTGGAGGAACTAGATAAGGTGTTAAGTTTATTATAATTTTATGATTGTGGTCTAATTAACCTTCTGGAGGAACTAGATAAGGTGTGAAGTTTTGTTATTATTTTAGGATCGTGGTGTAATATAACCATCTGGAGGAACTAGATAAGGTGTGAAGTTTTTATTATTTTAGAATCGTGGTGTAATATAACCTTCTGGAGGAACTAGATAAGGTGTGAAGTTTTATTATTATTTTAGGATCGTGGTGTAATATAACCATCTGGAGAACTAGATAAGGTGTGAAGTTTTTATTATTTTGAATCGTGGTGTAATATAACCTTCTGGAGGAACTAGATAAGGTGTGAAGTTTTATTATTGTTTTAGGATCGTGGTGTAATATAACCTTCTGGAGGAACTAGATAAGGTGTGAAGTTTTATTATTATTTTAGGATCGTGGTGTAATATAACCTTCTGGGGGAACTAGATAAGGTGTGAAGTTTTATTATTGTTTTAGGATCGTGGTGTAATATAACCTTCTGGAAGAACTAGATAAGGTGTGAAGTTTTATTATTATTTTGGGATCGTGGTGTAATATAACCATCTGGAGGAACTAGATAAGGTGTGAAGTTTTTATTATTTTAGAATCGTGGTGTAATATAACCTTCTGAGGAACTAGATAAGGTGTGAAATTTTATTATTATTTTAGGATCGTGGTGTAATATAACCATCTGGAGGAACTAGATAAGGTGTGAAGTTTTTATTATTTTGGAGTCGTGGTGTAATATAACCTTCTGGAGGAGCTACATAAGGTGTGAAGTTTTATTATCAATAGTATTTTATAACCCAAAGAACTATAAATAGTTTTGAAATGAAAGTTACCAATTACTGTCAGCCATCTTACAGTGCCACTATATAAGTGATAAAACACAAAGATAATTGATCTATTTCTATTAACTTAATATATTTGTGATTTGAAATTAGGCACGGTGGAAGGAGAGGAATTTCGAAAGTTGCTCGGTTTGGAAAGTTTTTAATATTTTCATCTACAAATATTATCCAAAAATACGGTTTTCAGCATTTTGACGTATCAGATATAATTCAATAACTTGTTATATTATCTATGTATGATTGATTTATGATTATAACAACCACTTACACATTGTATTGCCTTAACAGTTGTCACGTGGAAGATAGGATGCAGTTGGTTTCTATTCTCTGTCTCGTCTATTTGAATAAGTGCTACATTGGATCTCAAATATGCATAGTTTGATATTGAAATGTCTCCGGTATAGTGATTAAATTTTGATTTATGAAAACCTATTCGATTGAGAGATCGAGCGATTGCAATTTTAAATAATACAGTGGTTGAATACGTTATATTAAAATGATTTTGAAGCCTCACAATGTCGTTACAGTCCAAGTCACCACGTCCGGCCATGCTCTATCTGACTTAATGACAGCGTAGTTTTTCATTGCAAAAAATTATGTTGTAAATCTGTCCTATCCAAAGCATACACCGCTTTCCCAGCGGAGTTCTATATTCCATCTAATATATGAGGACGATAGATTCAACAGTCTGATCGCCAGATATCCATTGGCAACTGCATCTGGCGACTTGACTGGTATGTCTTTGTATAGAATAGCATGAATATCCATTTCAATCTCCAGCTGCTTGAGGTATGCGACGATCGAACGGATATTTCGTGAAAGCGACTTGTGTACATGTGACTTGTGTCGCTTTTCCAGACTGAGATCCTTCATTATCATGTTACCTAATGTTGTCTAGGGCACTGGGCAACTTTTGCTACTGTTCTTTGTGTTATTGGATTCTCACCTGTTACAAGATACCGCACTTTGCTTACCACGGCTAGAGTTTGACTTGTTGTAGGTCCCTTTTTGGATGGTCTTAGCGCCCCAGGGTGACACACGTTTCTTTCTTTTCCAAGGGTATTAAGCATAAGAGATATCCCGTCTTGGAAATTCTAAATCCCAATTAAAACACATCTTTATGGTCTGAATATTTTGCGTTGAAAAAGGCTGTTACATAATATTCCTGTGAGAAACTAAGTTATGTTCGCCAATTGTTAATAATATAAATATATTATGTGTTGTTGCTGGGCTTAGGACTATTCTACAGTGGGTGCCTGTGACTTGTTGGCGATAAATTCGATGATAAATGAACAGCACGCACTCCATTTGTTTTCAAAATAATATATATATATTCGAGGTAGTTAAACATATTTGCAGAAATTTCATACACTATAGAGATATAGTTATATCATAAACTCTATATAGTTCTCTTCTTGTTGTCAAAAGTCCACTTAGGCCTATTGAATTGCTTCATAATTTCAGCTAACAAGCCAAACTACTTTTCTCTATTTCTATTGCACCAGTATAATTCACTTACAATTATAGCGTGAGTTACCACAGTCGTATTCTGCTCTTTCAGTAATGAATCACAACTTCCAACAATCTTTAAC